AATCAGATTGATGGTATTATGGACTACAGTGTGGTTAGGAGATAAGAGCGTGCGGCGTTCGTTCTTAGTAACATGCCTGCTGGTAGAGAAGCTGTTAGCTCCAGCCTGCAGAGCTGGAGAGATTCCTTTTTCTTACACAGTTCTGCCATCAAGGAGGGCACGAGACAGGCATTTTCTTCCCAGAATTCTTGACAATTGCAGTCACTGGGTACTGGGCAATGCCGCAAGTGTTGCTTCCTCGGTGCAGCCGAAAATACCCCTGGGTGGGAAGAGAAAACATGGATTAAAAAGTGCTTTGGGGGGGTGTCTCTAGTTTGGAATCCAGGCCAAATCCCCAGGCCTTGCAGATCTCTCTGCAACCAGCCCCCTTTGCACATTTCTCCTATTCCCCATCTGCCCCGCTTCAAGTTTGGAAGAAGGCAGTGGTTCCCCAATATCTTCATTAGTCCTTCAGAAGTCCAGGGAATGGGCCCATCTTCCTCCTCTCCCAGCTCCCCACTCTTTCTCTTTGTGCTCCCTGATGACTGGAGGTCAGCAATGCTCCCTCTAAGCTCTGGAGTCTTGTGAGCAAAAATTCTGCTTCGTGAGCTACTGGCATTAAACTTGTGAGCGAGCAATTTGGCCACTGCATAAATTAGTTTGCTCGGAAGCCATCCTTCCTGAGCTAAGACAAAAATGTGTGAGCCGGAGGCTAAAGAACTGTGAGCTAGCTGACACTAACTCAGCTTAGAGGGAGCAGTGGAGGTCAGCATACCTTTTCTCCCCAGGCCTCTCCCCATGAGTTCTGGATGGTCCAGTACGGTGCAGACCAGGACCCCCGCCTTGGTTTGACTGCACAGAAGCATAAACAATTAAGTTAGTTTGTGTCTGCTAGATTAGACCAGAGGTCCATCAACGCAGGCCGCATGTCTCCAGAAAGCTCCCACTGATAGCAACAGCATTAGAGGTATACTGCTTCTGAACACTTGACAATCCCTTTTAACTATCTTGGACTTTTCTATTAATTTTACCTAATCCATGCCTACATCACGGAAATCTCAGTGCAGTGGAAACTTCAGGAAAGCGGTTCCATAGCCACTGAAGGAAAGGTGTCAGTAGCTGGTCTCCTAACCCTAACCTAGAAGACTAGTCAGAGGAGCAGAGTTGTCACATGGGTGACTACACAGAGAAGCAGTCCTGCCTGTTCATAGTAGCCCCAGACTGTAGAACTTCACCCAAAGAGTGATTAACACATGGAATTCACTGCCCCAGGAGGTGGCGGCGGCTACAAGCATGGACAGCTTCAAGAGGGAATTAGATAAACATACGGAGCAGAGGTCCATCGGTGGCTATTAGCCACAAGGTATAGATAGGGACTTCGGGACAAGTGATGCTCTGTATTCTTGGTGCTTGGGGGGGTCAACAGTGGGAGGGCTCCTAGTGTCCTGGCCCCACTGCTGGACCTCCTGATGGCACCTGATATTTTTGGCCACTGTGTGACAGAGTGTTGGACTGGATGGGCCATTGGCCTGATCCAACATTGGGTTATCTTGTGTTCTTATGTTAACTTAGTCCCTTGCATGGTTTTCCACTGTCAGACTTTCAGAGGTTCACATTGTTGTATTTAACCAAGCTGTTAAGATTAGTTTAATCCATGGGACATTAAGTTTCTACTGATGGCCTTTTCTCCTTCCTATTTTCTAAATTCCCCCCCCCCTCTTTGAGTTGAGATTATTTAATCTCTTTATGCATGTCTTCTAACAGTTTTCCTTATCACTGTTAGCTACTTCACCATTGGGGAAAGGGGTGGCTCTTCCAAGACTAAGAAGTGGGGCAAAGATACTTGAAATAAAACTAGCAGCTGGCTCACTGGCTCAGAAGACAAACAGTCTAGTCCACTGTTCCATTTTCTACACTGGTCAGATGCCCGCTTCTGGAAAGTACAGAGTTATCGAGACATCAGCCTCCCCCATATTGTTCCTAGGTAAAAGGTAAAGGTTCCCTTGCTTGAAAGCCAGTCGAATCCGACTCTAGGGTTGCGGTGCTCATCTCCGTTTCAAAGCCGAAGAGCCAGCACTGTCCGAAGACGTTTCCGTGGACATGTGGCCGGCATAACTAAACACCGAGGCACATGGAATGCTGTTACCTTCCCACCGAAGTGGTACCTATTTATCTACTTGCAATTTCTTGCTTTCGAATTGCTAGGTTGGCAGGAGCTGGAACTAGAGATGGGAGCTCACTCCATCATGCGGCACCCAGGTCTCGAACTGCTGAACTACTGACCTTCCACAGCCTGCAGTTCAGCGTCTTAACCACTTGAGCCACCGCAGCTCCTCTGTTGTTCCTACACAACTGCTATTAAGAGGCACAGTGCCACTGAACATGAAGGCTCTGTTGTGCTATTGTGTCTAATAGTTGTTCAGATCTATTTTCTTCCATTGGTTTTTCTAGTCCATCTAAAAACACACCGTCTGTTTGACTAGGTCAGCCGTAAGCCTGGAGAGGCCACCCACTTTCCCTAGCTCATGGCTCCCATCCCTGGCCCCCGCCCAAATGCTAAATGCACTGCCCTGAGCCTCAGGCCCATTTGTCCACTGCTGGTGGCATCTGCTTCAGCATTATCCCCATCAATGAGTGCCTCACCTCCACCATAACCCACAATGAGCACAGCATGGTCCAGATGTTGGGGGTTGCAATCCTGAGAAGGTCTCTGGAGAATGCCTTTTTGGTAATGCTGGCAGACGGAGAGAGAACACAAACTATAGCGTGCACTGATCAGAAAGGGACAGGAGGTGTTCTGGAGGGAGGGGCAGTTTTCTGTCTTGGAGGTGGCACAGGACAAGGAGAGTGCGGAAGAAGAAACGGGTTTCTGTCCACCTCCATCAGGCACTTACCTGAAGCCCTTTGAGATTGATGAGAGACGTTACAGGACCTCGGGAAGCCACGACTTGGGCCATGTCTGGGGAACAGCAAGGAAAATGGCATCCAAGATTAGCACTGGGGCATGGAGAAGGGAGACCAGATCTTAGTTCCTGCCCCAGGATGTGATTTCTACAGCCATGTTAAAGTCCTGTCCTGGCACATGTGAAAGTATGATAATTAATAGCCTGAATATGTGCCAAATGGCTTTCCCTCACTGCCAGGTCACCCATAACTAGCTTGTGCGTGGCCAAGGCATCTTCAGAAGGCAGGAGGAATCAGTGCAGACTGACTACATTCAAAGTGGCAGAAGTTAGCTTTGAGGTTACGGAGTACTTCTGCATGCGTACATTTTCCAGTACAAAAATCTGGAAGAAGATGCTGTCTTCTTAGGCTGGTATTGACCCAATAACATTCGCTGCTCCATTCTTTTAAAGTACTGTCATCTTTACCGGGTCTACATTTGCCTGGGTATGCAATATCCTTTGTCCTTAAAAAGAAATTTTACAGTTACACCTTACAAAGAGTTCTGTGTAACGCAGAAACCTCCTTCCAGTATTCGGAGCATTTGGCCCAGTGAAGTAACCGAATACAGTCACAGCAAGCAGGTCCCTAGCATCTTGCTCCAGTTCCTCCCCTTATTCCTGCTTTCTCCTTGCCCTATTCAGGTGCTTTTAATTTTTCCCCCCAGAGACTCACACAGAAGGTCTGTGAGTTTACTCATCTGGATTTCATTTAACCTAGCACTTGAAATGTGGGTTCATCCACCCCAAACTACATCTAAAGAGGCAGCCCAATTGTAGAGCATATACTTTGCATGCAGAATGTCCCGGATTCAATCCCTGACAACTCCAGTTAAAAAATCTCAGGTTGTAGCCTGGCAGAGAAAACAGCATTGAGTTAGATGGGCCAACGGTCTGACTTGGTATCTGTGAAGGGGGGCTACTTCTCTGAACATTCTTCTCCCTGCTTGCCTTCGGGAGTCAATTCCCCATAAGGGGAGCTGAAACTCAGCCCCTCAACTGTACAAACCAAACCCTTGACAAGCATAGCCATCATTTGTTCTGGGTTTTAAAAAATATAAAACAAATAACAAGTGCCTTCTACTGATGTCAGACCATCGGTCCTTCTTAATTATATTGTCTAGCCAAGGTTTCAGGCAGAGAAAAGTCAAGTTCTTCCTACCCTGCCCCCCATGAGACTCTTTTAAATGGAGATGCTGGGGATTGAATGTGGGGCCCTCTGCATGGAGTTGTCTGCCACGGCCCCTTTTTCATAGGCTTCCATGCCTTTGTGAACCATCACCAGAAATCCTTACGTTTCTCATCCCTGGGCAGGAATTCATAGTCCTGGATCCAGGCGACAGCTTTTCCTCGGTCCTTTCTGCACTTCTGCTGTTCGGCCACGTAAGGATAGCGTTTATCTTCTGTCAGCCCACCTGGAATAGAGCACACTGGCTACCAGGTGGGAAAACGGTTCTTTCTCTCTCCATCCCACTCATTAGGTCTTGTACCCACAAGAGGATAGACCCAAGCCCCCCCCCCCCCAAACTCTGCAGCTTTCACACCCAAGCTGGGATTTGAATCTGGTCTTCTTGGTCCAAGTCCAAGACTAATAACATACTCAAGAAGGTTAACAAAGTTCAGTTTTACACAAAAACAAATTTTGTTCACTTTCTGGGCCCGATATATAGTTACAGCTAGGGCCGGGAATGGAAGGTTCCCCTAACAAGGGGCCTCTGGGATTTGAACCACAAGCCTCTTGCGTTCTCAAGGGCTGGGCTGGGAGACCTTAGTCAAGCTGCAGGCATAGATGGGCCTAGAAAAAGCATACTGGACAACTCCAGTCGGCAAGCAGTACAAAGCCTTGGGATCGGCTACTCCTCGCCTTCTCCCCTCCCTTATTTAACCCGTCTGTCCCGAGGCCTCTCTAATCATGAAGCAGGCCACCGTCAGAGGAAGAAGAGGCCTAGTGGATCATGGGAGGCTCCCCTTACTGGGCAAAAGGCAGCAGATGTGCCAGGATATGGCAGGGGCAGTGCACCTCACAAAAAAACAGTAGCAGCCCTATGCCCACCCAGCTGAAGTGGGGCAAGGCAAGGAAGGGGTTAAGAGAGCAACAAGGCTATGAGAAGGGAGGTGTGGTGGTGCTGGCTGGGCTTGACCAGCAGGGGCAGAGCCCCAGGGGTAAAAAGAAGAGAGGGAGGAGATGCGGAATGCAAACTGGTTGAGCAAACCTGAGGAGGTGCAAAGAAGAGTTGGTTTTTATACCCCGCTTTCCACTACCTGAAGGAGCCTCAAAGTGGCTGGCAGTCGCCTTCCCTTCCTCTCCCTACAACAGATGCCCTGTGAGGTCGGTGGGGCTGAGAGAGCTCTGAGAGAACTGTGACTGACCCCAGCTCACCCAGCAGGCTTCATATGGAGGAGGAGAGGGGAATCAAACCCAGTTCTCCAGATTAGAGTCCGCAGCTCTTCACCACTACACCACTACGCCACACTGGAAGTAAGAGGAACCTAAAGGAGGGGCCTGGAGCAAGAGAAGGCTACCAAACTGGGCCTGGTGGTGGAAGTGCCCCAAGGCAGAGGTACAGCTCAGCCCCCTAAAGTTTCAAGGGTAGAAATGGGTGAGTGAAGGGAACTGCACTCGAGAGGAAGGCTGTGTGGACTCTGCTACACCAATAAAGAGGCAGTTAAGGAACACTGCATCTGGTGAGTCTCTGCTGACTATGGAAGTCAGTCATGATGTCCCACTGCCCCCTGGGCCCCCCCCCCACAGTTGGTTTAGAATGTGGGCAAGCCAAGTCCCACTGACGCACAGGGTTGCCAGCCTCCAGGTGGGACCTGGAGATGTCCCACTTTTACAACTGATCTCCAGCTGGTGGAGATCAGCTCCCACTTTGAATGGTGGACAATATGGCATTGCACCATGCTGAGGCCCCTCCCCAAACTCCTCCCTCTCCCGGATCCACCCCCAAAGTCTCCAGGTATTTCCCAATCTAGACCTGGCAACCCTAGGAAGACCTGAGGCAAACCCTCAAGCCTGGTGTGTGTGTGTAATGTACTCCGCCATTATCATGGGCGCGACCGTTGGGCCATGCGGTCAAGCACAAGCCCAAAGCTTCGTACATTGAGAACAATAGCCAAGCGGATCCTAGCCCGCACCAATCAGAGGGCCAGGTCCGCAGCCGAGAGCCTATGGGACTCTCGGCTTCTGTAAATAACCTATAGGGTGAATAGGGGGTGTGTTTTGGTGGTGGGTTTCTGTGCATATATACCGGCCTGCGCACCGGCTTACTTCGTCTTGTTCCTGATTGAATAAAGTACTCTTGCTGAAATCACTCCACGTTCTGAGTACTTTTCAGTGTGGCTTGGTGAGCAGCTCAGGCACAGGAGCAGCACCAATTGTGGCAGCAGGTAGCCACCCAACAGGCTCAGCTGTTTGAACAGATGTTGCAGCCAGAGCAGCAGTCCTATTTTGGCCTATGGGACTACCTCCTCTAGACTCTACGGCCCTTACCCACAGGGGCTAGTCTTGATGAGGAGCCAACGGACCATAAGGGTTGAACGCTGAGGCTTAGGGCAAGTGCAGGAGCCACACTACAATGTTTGGGTTGAAGAAAAACTTCCTCCAGATCAGAATGGCCATGTGGTGGCCAGGGCAGCTTAGGCGAGGGAGAGTGTCGGTGAACTTACTGCGTTCAAGGACTGTACGGAAGGCATCCCACGGAAAACCCCCCTCACAGCCACAGCCACATCTTGTGCAATCAACAGCCTCTGGAATGGGAGAAAGCAACTTCAGGAAGGTTAAAATAAAGTCATTTAGCCACGGAAATATAAGGCTTAGTAAGAGTGGTATTCAGGGGGCCATGGTGGCTTAGATGTTAAGACGCTGAACTGCAGATCGGAAGGTCTGTATTTTGGCAGTTCGAGACTGCAGTGCTGCGTGACGGAGGGAGCTCCCATCTCTGGCCCCAGCTCCTGCCAACCTAGAAGTTCGAAGGCAAGACATTACAAGTCAATAAATAGGTACCATTTTGGTGGGAAGGTAACAGTGTTCTGTGTGCCTCAGCATTTAGTCATGCCAGCCCCAGGACCGTAGAAATGTCTTCAGACAGTGCTGGCTCTTTGGCTTGGAAACAGAGACGAGCACCCACCCCTAGAGTCAGATTCGACTAGCTTTAGAGCAAGGGAAACCTTTGCCTCTACCTTGAGTGGTATTCAACCTTAGTTCCCGTCTCCCTCCCTGAAGATATGTAGGTATTTATTTATTTGACTTATATCCCGCCCTCCCTTCAAAGCAGTCTCAGGGTGGCTTACAAACTGTATAAAAACACTAAAACAAGAAGGTTGATAAAATCACAATAGAATCCTGAGTATAATAAATTATAAAGTACTAGTACAACTAATGTAACGATGGCCGACGTTTGCAGTAATCATAATATGCAGACAGCTGGTCTAGGTTGCGTCAGGCTGTTGGTGGTATAATACTATTGATATTGATGCTATTATTGGTGTTGGGGCCGGGGCCTCGCTCTACATAGTGCGGCTCCCTAATCAAAGGCCTGGTGGAAGAGCTCCGTCTTGCAGGCCCTGCGGAACTGTAAACCAGTTCCAGGTAAACCAGAACCAGGTTGATCGAGGCTAGCCCAAAAATGTTAGCAGTAAGAACCATGAATCAAAAAAATGACCGTTGACTAAATAGACTTAATACAGAATCAACATTTCAATACACATTTGAAATCCAGGTGAATTTTCAATATTCAAAATTTTCAGTTTTCAAACATGTAAAATTCAATTCACTTTGAAGTTTTGGGAAGTGAGTTTTGAAAAAAAGAGAGTAATAATCTCAAGAATCAACTTGTCAAATATAATCCTTTACACTCTAGTCCTTTCCACTCAGATCTGGCAGTTATCTGTCACTGGGAATGATGTAGAAATCAATCCACACCCCAAACAGAAAGAAGTAGCCTGATTCAGTAGAGTTGCCAACCTCCAGGTAGGAGCCAAAAATGAGAGCTCATAGGAGGAAGTGGAAATTCAAACACAACTCTTCATTATTTTTGTCATGGATGTTGTGTTTGGATTTCCTCAACCTCCAGGTAGGGCCTGACAATCTCCTAGAATTATAACTCATCTCCAGGCAATAGAGATCAGGTCCCCTGGAGAAAAATGGCTGCTTTGGAGGATGGATATGGCATTATACCCTACTGAGGTCTGGCCCCTCCCAGACCCTGCCCTCCCCAGGCTCCATCCCCAAAATCTCCCAAGTATTTCCCAACCCAGAGCTGGCAACCCTACATTTGGAAATCTTTTCTTTTTACAGAACCACTGAATCAGGCAGAGAAATAGGTACTGTTCTATATCCAGTGGGTATATGTGTAAATACAGTAAAGGACAAGGAGGTAGCACTTCTCTAGCAGGAAAAATCCCTTGTAGAAATAAATTAATGTTCTGGCAACACACCCCTCGCATCTTTTCTTCCTGGAATTTGTCCAGCTAATTCAGTTTGCTTTTGTTGCATACTGTGGCAGTGAGTTACAAAGATTAACAATGCACAAAATCACAGGATAATTCTGTAAATCAGAGGTGGTGGTGGGGATTCAAATCCATCAGATGCAGGGGAAAGAGAGTAACTCAAATTTACTAACAGTTTTCACAGCAGTGATTAGAGGCAAGTTGCTGAGTGTAAGGTTCTGCATATGCGTAGGAATTTGGAAATAGATTTTATAGCCAATCATATTCAGCTCTAGTGCTCAGCCCTAGTCAGACCTGGCCCAAATCCATCAAGCTTTCTTTTGATACCAGTCATACCCTGTACAGAGACGTTCCGTGGCAAATGCAGATGGATGTTCCACAAGGCCTCAATGTTGGATACAGCAGCAAAAGCCCAGCATGATTTACAGGAACCCTGAGAAGGAAGGGGAAAAAGGTGTACAGCACTAGGAGGATGCAAAAGATCCATTGTTTTCTTCATTGATGAATGGGAGAGTGAAAGACTGGCAATTCATTCATGGTGGCACATTTTACACACTGATAAATTAATGAAGCCAGTAAGTGCATTCAGGCAATATAGTTGATGACTCTTCCAAGCATTGCCTCCAGTAGCCGAGCAAAGGGAGAAATTCTGGAAATATCCCTGACTCTTGTGATGTCTTCAGCAAAGTTCCATCAGTCTGGATATTGCCATCTTGTGTGACAAAAAGACCTCTGCCTTCCTGGAGCCATTTATTTTCCTAAAGTCCATCACCTTCCTATTTTTTTAGCAGGTTTGCAAACTGAAACTTGCTTACCTTTGCTAACATGACTTTTACCTTTATCAGCTAGCTGGAGCGGGGTCCTCCTATCCCAGACAGCATCTTTTTATTTCAAGCAATTATTTGGTAGACGTTTTTCCGCTTCTGAGGCTTAAATATAAGAGGTTTTCTTTTCATTTGTTTGCTCTTTTTACTTTAAGATAGCCAAGACTCTATCTTTGCTCCCACAAGCAGACCAATGTCAGGATAAGTCTTCCAGAGTAGCCAGTCGTGGGATAAATCTTCCAGGACAGCTAATCTGGGATAAAGTCCTGTGCCTTTGAAAATCTAACACTGATCAGAACTCTCAGCCATACTCTTTAACCACAAGGGTATAAATGGCAGTAGCAGGCAAGATGGCTCCCCATTGGCTGGCAATGAAAACTAGCCTATTCCCTTATACCAGGCATGTCCAACTTCGAACAGGTAGTGATATATTTTTTCCGGCCAAAAGTGCCGGTGATCTACCACCATGAAAATAAAGTTTCAAATTAGTTTCAAATTAGATTTTAATCCAATAAAGTTGGGTTCCCCCCCCCCCCATTTATAATGCACCTTCTGTCATTTACTGGTAAGCAAAATAAGCAAAAACAAAACAGAGACAAAGATCCAGAAAGAACTGCGAACATTTTTTATTTTTTATTGAGTTATAACTTTCTTTAACTGTCTCAATAACTTTCTTTAACTTTTATTCAGAGTTTTTTGTGTCAAATGTAGGTCAGGTATTGATCCAGGCTGATCTTGCACAATCTTTAAAACTTCGCTCTTGCTCATTAGTGAGACCATTAGTGAGACCAAGTGGGGCTGGTGATCTACCTCTGACCCCACCGCGATCTACTGGTAGATCGTGATCTACCTGTTGGACATACCTGCCTTACACTATAGACCTCTGCTCCATTATATTACAGTTCCAATCCCTTTATGCCATCCTAAAAATCTAAGCTCTGCGCATTTTACTAAATGAAAGAAGTGTGGGGGCCTTCCTGGCCTCTTCAGGCATGTCATTCCACAAGGTGGGAGCCACCAGGGGTCATTTCCTGCAGGAGCGCACGGGAGCGGAGCTCCGGCAGTAAAGAGCCCAGGGGGCGGGCACATGCAACAAGCCCCACCCCCTGCTCCCAGCAGCCCTCAGTCAGAGCAAGAAGCAGCCAAGTAAGCTGCAGAGCCAACTGGTCCAAAACAGTCCAGTGGCACCTTTAAGACCAAGTTTTATTCAGGTACACGCTCTCCCTCCTCTGCGAGGACAGATCTGCACGCCCCCCCCTCCAATAGCTAGCAATCCAAAACAGTCCAGTGGAGCCGGAGTGGTGGGGGTTGCCTTCTGACACACGTCCGGTGATGTCAGGGGGGGTGGCATATGCTAATGAGGTATGCTAATGAGTTATGCTAATGAGTTATGCTAATGAGTTATGCTAATGAGTTATGCTAATGAGTTATGCTAATGAGCTCCTGCACCTCTTTTTCTACGAAATGACCCCTGGGAGCCACTACAATGGTCAGTCTAACCCTTTGCAGAGCAGCACTGTCAGAAAGCATTCAACTGGCATGGAAAAAACATGGTGAGGAAACTTTGTCAGGTAATGGCCCAGAAACAGGCATAGTTAGAAATGGTGGAAACTGTTGTTCGTTCAAAATCCAAACAGGTGGTTTCAGGACAAAGAAACCACCTCTTGTAAGAGACAAGCAGCACAGCACCACCAACTGTTTCCAGAAACCACCTTTCCTAGGACAGGCAGGCAGGGTGGTGTAGAGATTGGAATTTTGGACTAGAAGCCAAGAGACCTGGGGTTTAAATCCTCACACTGCCAAGTAGGGATGCAAGCATCCAGGTGGGACCTGGGGATTCCCCCAGAATGACTGCTCATCTCCAGACTACATGCATCATTGCCCCTGAGAAAATGGATGCTTTGGAGGGTGGACTCTATGGCACTGTAGCCCCCTGAGGTCCTTGTCCTCCCCAGGCTCCACCCCCAAATCTCGAGGTGTTTCCCAGCCTTGAACTGGCAACCCTAACCCCCTGATCCCCTGCCAGTGGCCAGGGGAACCTGACAACCCTACTGAAAAGCTGAATAATGCTGGGCCAGCCCCACTAGAAAGCATCCTCTGCTTGTAGGATTCTGGGCCTGCTCTCCTTCTGCCACAGCTACACCTATCCAACATTTTCCTTCTTAACCTACAAACTTGTAAAGGAAGATTTTTTTTCAGAAAGGCCTCTTAAGCAGAGGTCATTTCGTAGAAAAAGAGCTAGGGGGACTCATTAGCATAACTCATTAGCATATGCCACACCCCCTGACATCGGGGCCCAGCGGTGGACCTGCAAGGCCAGCGGGAGGGCGAGGAAGCCCCGCCAAGGCCCTCCCTGGCCCCAGGCAGGCAGGGGTGGGGAGAGGCGGGGAGGAAGCAACTTACCCTCCCTCTTCTCCTGCCTCCTCCTGGCTGAATGAGGGCTGGAAGCGGGGAGGCCGGAAGCAGGGGGCGGGGCTTCGTCATGTGCCCCACCCCCCTGCACCTCACCCGGGGGAACTGTGTTCCCCTGCGTTCCCCCCCGAAATGACCTCTGCTCTTAACTCACCAGAGGCTCCCCCCAAAAGGGAGCCAGCAACAGCTGCCTTGGAATCCCCCTCCCCACAAGAGACTGGGGCTCTGTCATTAAAGCCGTCACCAGGGGGCAGCGGATGACCCTTCCCTTCTGTTGTTCATTACACAGAGATACCCCATTTGCATCCCACAACAGTTTTCATCACACAACCATTTACCTGGTTTTTTACCGCTGTGATAGCTCCAAATTTTCTCCAGTCACAGGACTTTGCACCCTTGGGGGGTTTCGCTGACTTCTTCAGTGTAGGGGGGTGAGAAGGGTGATGAGGAATACCAAACATCTTCTCAAACTCACTCTCTGGGGGAGAAGGAAAAAAGTTGGCAGCTCTAGTTTAAACTGGGGGAAGGCAGATTTACTTTAAACCTTGGGAGGAATTCTCTGGATGGTGGAGGCTGTGGAGGCCCTCTTTGGAAAAGGCTTATAGAACAGCGAGATAAGGCTGCACATTGGCGGGGTTGGGGGGCAGAGTTTTAATGACTGTATGTCTGGTGGAAATTCAACAGGTGCAATTTCTTCAAGTGCAATGATGAGGAAAGCTTTACCTATTGACTATGTGCCTGCCTGGTTACTATAGCAGCAATTCTGTGAAGTCTTCTGACACATTACCAAGGGCTCAGAGTCAATCCACTGATTATTTTTTTAATTGTCTGGCATCATTTAGAGCTACCTTGCTGGTCTTTAGCCTTGGCTATATATTTTTCTTGGTCTTTAGTCATGTCATGGGGCAGGGGAAGAAACCAAAGGATTTTTACGTCAGAATAGCCACCTATGTGTTATGTGATCCAGCAGCTAACAGGACTTGCCTCTAGGAGGACATCTAGCCAAAAAGGACCACTGCAATGTCCAAGGCTCAATTCCTCTTGTCCAGTAAAAGGAAGATGCCCTACACCAGGACAGCCATCTGTTAATACGATGCCCATGTTCATTTCCCTGGGGCTGAGCAAAGAGGACTTCCTAAGTCCTGGGCCCCAGCTTTGGGTCTAATCCAGTGGTGGCGAACCTATGGCACAGGTGCCAGAGGTGGCACGCAGAGCCCTCTCTGTGGGCACACGTGCCATCGCCCCAGCCAGGCCCAGACCATCATTAAAGTATCGAATTCTCCGCCAAATAATTTTAAGTAAATGAAAGAATTTGGGTTTGCTTTCCTTACTTTGTTTGGATTATCTTAAGTTAATGTATGAGTTGTTTTTTCTAAAGTAAAACCTCAGTATTCAGGTTGAATTGCCGTGTTGGCACTTTGCGATAAATAAGTGGGTTTTGGGTCGCAGCTTGGGCACTCGGTCTCTAAAAGGTTCGCCATCACTGGTCTAATCTCTCCTATCTGGCGCTTTTGAGAGACATCCAACATTCACGCCAGAGGCTTCATTCCAAGGCCCACTTTGGGCCCGACTGCTCCCTCCTCCTTACCTGTCAGGTCACTGAACAAAGTGACCCCATATTGGGCCGTCCCCAGCTCTGAGGCCTGTAACGCACAGCTCACTTTCAGGTTTTGCGTGAAGACTTGGAAGCGATGGTCTCTCTCTGAGGTGTAAAATGACAGATTCAGCAGACTGACAGGATCTTCCCCAGGGCCGTAGCCAGGGTTTTGTAATTGGGGGGGGGGGCTTTAAATAAGTCAGGGCGCACTGACGTCACAAAATAAAAAACATAAAATAAAAATAACAATTTTAAAACTCACTTTTGCAGCGTTCGCAGTCTGCTTGCCTACATGGGGAAGCAAGCTGCGCTTGGGGAAGGGGTGGTGGTGGTAAGTCCTCCAGGTAGCCCAAAGAGTCGGGGGTGGGGGCTGGAGGCTGCATGGAAGTCAGGGGCCTTGGCAGGAAGTCAGGGGGGCAGGCCCTGAAATGCCCCACTGTAGCTACAGGCCTGATCTTCCCCCAACGTGAAGAAACTCATCATACATTTTGAGCCAGATTTTTGCTGAGAACCACACCCCATGAACTTCGCTGGAAGACCAACCCTGCAAATTGGCTCTTTTAGGGCTATATTTCAAGGCACCAAAGACACAGGCCCGTAGCCCGCGTGGGGCCCTAGGGGCCGGGGCCACCCGTGGCGTTTGCGGGCCCCCTCCCCGATCCTCTCCTCCCCCCCTCCTCGGAGGTTGGACCATCGGAGCACTTGTGAGCAAAAGTTCTACTTGGTGAGCTCCTGGCATTAAAGTTGTGTGAGCAAGCGATTGGGCCCCTGCATAAAATTAGTTTGCTCCAGAAACACATCCTCCCTGAGCCAAGGCAAAAATGTGTGAGCTGGAGGCTAAGGAACGGTGAGCTGGCTCAAACTGACTCAGCTCAGGGGCAGCCTGGCTGAAGTCCTTCCTGGGGCGCCTGGTGGGGAGGGGAAGGAGGAGGAGGAAGAAGCCTTTCTCCTCCGTCTGCAGCAGGGGAAGGGTTAAAGGCGAGCGAACGGCACGGCTGGAGAGATCTGGGAGGGCTGCAGATCTGCAAGGGGGGCGGGACGGGGAGCCTTTTGCTGCCGGATCCCGGGGGCCGGGCGGGTTTACTCGCAAGTAAGTCATGGG